ATGCAATATATTGTCTTTGAAGCAGTTCACTCAGAAGAAGAATGGTGGGTCTGGCTCCCCTGGGGGCTGAGGCGCGGGGCCCAATAGGGGAAATATAACAAATTCTTTAAAATCCTTCTACTTCTGTAGGAATGAAAGGATTTGTTCCATATTAAGTCTGAATCATCCTTGGGTGAAGGGGAACCAATTTTGTATAAACCGGGGGTCTAGCCCCCCCCCCAGGGACCTGAGGGGCGAGGCCCAATAGGGGAAACATAGCAAATTACTCTTCAAATCCTTTTTCTTCTGTAGGAAGGAAAGAATTTGGTCCATATTTGGTGTGGCTTATCCTTGGGTAAAGAGGAACCAATTTTGTATAATCAGTGGGACCTGAGGGGCGGGGCCCAATATGGGAAATAGAAGTAAAACCCCTATAATCCTTCTACCATATGGATTAAGGGATTTTATCCTAATTTAGTCTGAAGCATCCTTGGGCAAACGGGACTCAATTTCGTATAAACAGTGAGTGTGGCCCCCATTGGGGGCAGAAGGGAGGGGCCCAATAGAGGAAATATAGCAAATTCTTCAAATACATTCTTCTGTACAATTCCAAATGACAGGATTTTGTCCAAATTTGGTATGAAGCGCCCTTGGGTGAAGGGGAACCAATTTTGTATAAATGGTGTGTAAGCAGTCGGTGTGGTCTCCCAGGGGGCAGAAGGGCGGGGCCCAATAGGAGAAATAGAGGTAAAACCTTTAAAATCCTTCTTCAACCNCCCCCCCCCGGGTGCCCTATAGTAATCACCTTGTCTGTCTGTCTGTCTGTCTGTCTGTCTGTCCACAAATTTTGTTCCTGGCTGATAACTTTAGTATTTATTGACTTAATGAAACTTGGTCAAGATGTTCAGTTCACAAAAACACACATTGAGGTAAAAAGTCAAGGTCATAGGTCAAGGTCATTAGGTTCAAAGGTCAAGGTCAAATTTTACATCTTTTTACTGATAAACATTTTGTTATGACGTTATGAAGCAAAGTTGATCAGGATTAAACAAGGAGTCAACTGACTAAAGGTCAAGGTCATCGGGTCAGGGGTCAAGGGCAAATTTTGTAGCTTTTCACTGGTGAACATTTCGCTATGACATTATGAAGCAAAGTTGTTCGGAATTAAACAAAGAGACACACAGAGGTAAAAAGTCAAGGTCATAGGTCAAGGTCATTACAATCAAATGTCAAGGTCAAATTTGGCATCTTTTCACTGATGAACATTTTGTTATGACATTTTAAAGCAATGTTGATCAGAATTAAACAAGGAGTCAATTGACCAAAAGTCAAGGTCATTGGGTCAAAGGTGAAGGTTAGATTTTGTACTTTTTCCCTGATGAATATTTTGTTATGACATTATGAAGCAATGTTGTTCAGAACTTCACACAGAATCAACTGACCTTAGGGCCAGGTTATGCAGTCCAAAGGGGCAAGGTCAAGTTTTGTATATTTCACTGAAGAACATTTTGTTATGATAATAAGAAGCAAAGTTGGTCGGAATTAAAGAATAAGTCAACTGACCAAAGATCAGGGTCATTGGTTTAATGGTTAAGGTCATTTGGATCCAAAGGTCAAAGACAAAATGGATCTCTGACTTTGACCCTGGCTCTTGATGGAGGAGGGATATAAGGTGAAATAAAACAAATCAAAGCTAACAAATGAGTATTGCACCTGTATTTACATTTCTGTTAGCCCAGCAAATATGGAGGTGGAAGGAAACAAGGCTCACATCATAGTACATGTAAAATGTATATTTTGCTTCCTTGCGATTCTTTTGGAAGTTCAAATATCAAACGTCAAGCGCAGCTATATGGGCAGATTGCTTCTTGATGATTATGGGGGATATATATTGCCACAAGACGGGGCCCTTACTGACCTGTCAGTGTTCAAGGTTCAAACATATTCAGGTGAGCGATACAGGCCCTCTGGGCCTCTTGTTTGGGAAAGCCGGTGATAAAAATAGCTAAGACCGAAAAAGTGCAATATTCGGGCCTTTCAGTGAGAAGTATAACAACACAGTGTCAGTTATGAGTCTGAGTTCACGCATAACACATTCTTGAATTTACACAATACATCGCCAATAAGAATTATAAGTATCATAATAAATACCTCTAGTCAGATATTTCTGTTCACATTTTCATTTGAAGAAAAACGAACAGGTTCAATTAGAGCATGCATCTCTGAGAGGGTGCCGCAGGAAAATTTCAAACTGCAGAAAGTACGATATCAGTAGGTTTAAACGTAAATAAGATCACTCATTTATAACGATGTTTGAGATGTTGTTGGAACATTATTTTGATTCAGAATAGATGCATATACTTAATTCAGAGAGGCTAGGTGAAGTTACCTTCTCTCCTCGGCTGGAAAGACATTTTGTTAGCTACACATACAGCCGCCGCTAAAACGTATAGCTGTATAACATTACTGATTAAAAATGCCAAGAAAACATTGTCCCTTGTCAATTTCTCGACATGAATTGTTCATAGGGAGTATCAAACTATATTATCAGGAAGAGTTTTGTGACAAGGTAATAAAAACAACTTGCTTCACTAAATTGTCCCTTTAATCTGTTACCTGAGTGACCATATTGTTTATTTGTTACCCAAGTAACCATATTGTTTATTTGTTACCTGAGTGACCATATTGTTTATTTGTTACCTGAGAGACCATATTGTTTATTTATTACCTGAGTGACCATATTGTTTATTTGTTACCTGAGAGACCATATTGTTAATATGTCCCCACCATAAAATGGGGAGCCATTTAGTGTTGCCCATGTCCGTCCCGTCCCTTCCCGTCCCGATTTAATGTAAACATTTAGGAACTTCATTCTTTGACAGATTTTGGTCAAACTTTATACAAAGGTAAAGTATGAGTAAACTTAGGACATCGTTGTGTTTCAGGGATCCAAGGTCACGGCCAAGAACATCATCAACTGATTCAATTTAAACACTTAGCAATTTAACTAGCAATTTAATTTCATTCTTTCACAGATTTTGGTCAAACTTTACACAAAAGTGAAATATGGTATACCTCTGATATCCTTGTTTCAGGATGGTAATAACATACAGAAAAAACATATGAATATTAAAATTAACTTATCAACTTTAAGTGTAGAACCTTGTGTGTGTGCATGTTTCAGGGTATCAAGATCAAAGTGGTTGTAATTTTTAGCTCACCTGGTCCAAAGGACCAAGGTGAGCTAATGCCATACTGTGGCGTCTGTCGTCTGTCCGTCGTCCTTCCGTCAACAATTTCTGTAAATGACTTCTACTTAACCACTGATTGGAATTTAACTAAATTTGACTGGAAGCATCCCTAGTTGGTGGGGATTCAAAATTGTACAAATGGTGGGGCTGACCCCCCAGGGGGCTGAGAGGCGGGGCTAAAAGGGGGCAATTTGGCTTTATTGCTTTAAGCGACTTCTTCTCTGGAACTAAGAGATGGATATCAACCATATTTGACTGGAAGCATCCCGAGGTGGTTGGGATTTAAAATGGTACAAATTATGGGGCTGAGGGGCGGGGTTAAAATGGGGGCAATTTGGCTTTATTGCTTTAAGCAACTTCTTCTCTGAAACTAAGAGATGTTTGAATGGAAGTATCCCTAGGTGGTGGGGATTAAGAATTGTACATATGGTTGGGCTGACCCCCGCGAGGGTACGGGGCAATTTGGCTATATTGCTACAAACGACTTCTTCTGTAGAACTATGTACTGGATATCAATCATATTTAATCAAAAGCATTTATGGGAGGCAGAGGTTCAAAATTGTACAAATGGTGGGGTTGATGCCCCAGGGGACTGAGGGGTGGGACCAAAAAGGGTTATTTGGCTATATTGCTTTAAGCAACATCTTCTCTGGAACTGAGAGATGGATATCAACCATATTTGACTGGAAGCATCCCTAGGTGGTGGAGATTCAAAATTGCACAAATGGTGGGGCTGAACCCCCAGGGGGCTGAGGGGCGGGGCCAAAACAGGGCAATTTGGCTATATTGCTATAAACGACTTCTTCTGTAGAATTTTGCCATGGATATCCATCATATTTGGTCGGAAGCATTCATGGGAGGCAGGGATTCAAAATTGTATAAATAGTGGAACTGACCCCCCGGGCTAAGGGGTGGGGCCAAAATAAGTTTTATTACTTGGAAATGGTTGAGATCCCCACCATATAAACATATATACAATTGCTGAGTATATAGGGTCTGGCCCCACCCTTGGAGACATAGTCCCTGGGCCATAACTTTAAAACGGTTGAGATCCCCACCCCAAAACGATATATACAAATGCTGGGCATAAAGAGACGAATGCAGTCATGATATTAGAATAGACCCTGGGGTCTTACCAAACCCCTAGGGACCTAGTTTCTGAGTCACAGCTTGGAAACAGTTGAGATCCCCACCCCATAACTGAACGTAAAATTGCTGGGCATGAAAAATCTAATACAGATATGCTACAAGGATTGGCCTTGGTGTTTGGCATATTCCCTTGGATCTCATTTGGAGAACAATTTGCCATGGTTGCTTAGATATCCAGGTGAGCCATACAGGCCCTCTGGACCTCTTGTTTTATAGAACACTGAAACTAAGTTCACATGGCAGTGGGGGCATTTATGTATTACAGACATTTCCTAGTTTGTTACCTGAGTGACCATATTGTTTATTTGTTACCTGAGTGACCATATTGTTTATTGGTTATCTGAATGACCATATTGATTGTTACATGAGTGATCATATTGGTAATTAGTTACCTGAGTGATCATATTGTTAATTTGTTACCTGAGTGACCATATTGATTGTTACCTGAGTGATCATATTGTTAATTTGTTACCTGAGTGATCATATTGATTGTTACCTGAGTGATCATGTTGTTAATTTGTTACTGTTTTGTCAATTTGGTTGTCTGTTTCTGTCTGAGTGACCATATTCTTGATTCCTTTGCCTTCATGACTGTATTCAATGTGTTGCTTTTGTTGACAGGAAGCTGAACAGCTTCACAACAAGTTGGTGCGTCGTTACAGCCAGGATAAGGATATTTGGAACAGTTTCTCAATGTTCTACTACAAACATGGACGTGTGGATGACGCTCGCAAACTCCTTCAGCGCTGTCTTAAAAGTCTCAACATCAAACACCGTAAGTGACCATAAAATGTACATAGATGTGCTTGAGGGGTTTGAAAATTCCTTGGGTAGAGATTAAGGTCACTTTTACTTGGTTTAATATTGTATCTTGCCATTCTTACCAGCCATTAATTACTCCTATGGTAAATGGCATATTTTGGATATCCTTCATGACTCGGGATCCTGAAATCAAAGATAGCCTACAGTCAGAGGTCAATGTCTTTATATCTGAAATCAGAACAGTGTTGATACTCCATCTTAACTTCATTGTATAGCCATTTCTTACTTGTCAGTATTCATGAGAGTTTTTCACTTTTTGTGAAAAGACCTATTGTTATACGCCGTCAAATTTGGCGGGAGTATTATGGTATGGGTTTGTGCGGCCATCCGGCATAAACTTGTTTGTCCTGCAATCTCCTCCTACATTTTTCGACCGATCTCTTTGAAACTTGGTATACGTTATAATCATGATATGAAGTTGTGTTTCCTTTAAAAGACTTTTGATTCAACAGTTTTTATAAAAGTTATTGCCCTTTTTATGTCGCCTGCAAAAAGCTGGTGACACATAGGTATTGCTATGTCGGCGGCGTCGTCCTCACAGAGGTTTTCGTGCGCTAACTTGTAACTATAAATAGAAAATCTTTTTTTCATGGGATAACTTGAGTTTCCTTGGGCCGATCAAACTGTAAACTTCATGCAGTGCTAAGCATACTTGCATTTTCAAGATTTTTTTTATCGATACCATTGAGGCGATGCTGATGTTCTGTTGAGTTTCAACTTTCTGCATTTGGCATATCTGTTTACGTGATAACTCAAGCCAAAACACTTTTCTTACTAAAAGTGCTGAGCAGGCGACACATCCACTCCCGTGGAATTTTTGTTTTATTTCAGTATTTGATTTTTGTCCGGCAATCTCCTCGTACATGTTTCAATGGATCTCTTTGAAACTTGGTTTACATTATAATCATGATATGAAGTTGTGTCTCCCTTAAAAGAATTTCGATTTTTGTCCGGCAATCTCCTCCTACATTTTTCAAAGGATCTCTTTGAAACTTGGTATACATTATAATCATGATATGATGTTGTTTCTCCCTTAAAAGAATTTTGATTTGACAATTTTTGCACAAGGTATTACCCTTTGTTTATTTCAGTATTTGATTTTTGTCCGGCAATCCCCTCCTACATTTTGCAACGGATCTCTTTGAAACTTGGTATACAGTATAATCATGATATGATGTTGTTTCTCCCTTACAATAATTTTGATGCAACAGTTTTTGCAAAAAAAAATTGCCCTTTGTTTATTTCAATATTTGATTTTTGTCAGGCAATCTCCTCCTACATTTTTAAACTGATCTCTTTGAAACTTGGTATACAGTTTCATCATGATATAAAGTTGTGTCTTCCTTAAAAGAATTTTGATTCGACAATTTTTGCAAACGTTATTGTCCTTTGTTCATTTTAGTATTTGATTTTTTTGTCCGGAGATTTTCTCCTACATTTTTAGCTCACCTGCCCGAAGGGGAAGTGAGCTTATGTTATGGTGCGGAATCCATCGTCCGTCGTCCGTCGTCCGTCCAGCGTCAACTTTTTGCTTTAAACAACTTCTATTCGGTAACCAAAAGGCCTAGGAAGATGATATTTGGCCAGTAGCATGCAGGGAACAAGGGCTACCAAGTTTGACCTTGACACACTTTCAAGGTCACAGGGGTCAAATATGTTAAAATCTTCAAGCAACTTCTTCTCAATAACCAAAAGGCCCAGTGTACTGATATTAGGCCTGTACTATGCTGGGATGACGGGCTACCAAATTTGTTCAAATAAATGACCTTGACCAACTTTCAAGGTCAAAGGAGTTGAAATACGTTAAAATCTTCAAACAACTTCTTCTCAATTACCAAAAGGCCCAGGGTACTGATATTGGGCCTGTAGCATGCTGGGATGAAGTGCTACTAAGTTTGTTAAAATGAATGACCTTGACCAATTTTCAAGGTCACAGGGGTCAGAGGTCATAAAATCTTCAAACAACTTCTTCTCAATTAGCAAAAGGGCCAGGGTACTGAAATTCAGCCTGTAGCATGCTGGGATGCATGACTACCAAGTTTGTTCAAAAGAATGACCTTGACCAACTTTCAAAGGTCAAAGGGGTCAAATGTCATAAATTCTTCAAACGACTTCTTTTCAATAAGCAAAAGGGACAGGGTACTGAAATTGGGCCTGTAGCATGCTGGGACGAAGCGCTACTAAGTTTGTTAAAATGAATGACCTTGACCAATTTTCAAGGTCACAGGGGTCACAGGTCCTAAAATCTTCAAACAACTTTTTCTCAAGAACCAAAAGGCCCAGGGTACTGATATTGGGCCTGTAGAATGCTGGGATGAAGTGCTACTAAGTCTGTTAAAATGAATGACCTTGACCATTTTTCAAGGTCACAGGGGTCACAGGTCCTAAAATCTTCAAACAACTTCTTCTCAATAACCAAAAGGCCCAGGGTACTGATATTGGGCCTGTAGAATGCTGGGATGAAGTGCTACTAAGTCTGTTAAAATGAATGACCTTGACCAATTCTCAAGGTCACAGGGGTCAGAGGTCATAAAATCCTCAAACAACTTCTTCTCAATTACCAAAAGGCCCAGGGTACTTATATTGGGCCTGTAGCATGCTGGGATGAAGGATAACCAAGTTAGTTCAAATGAATGACCTTGATCCACTTTCAACCTAATGTCCTTGTTTGACAATCAAGGTCAGAGGCGTCATATGTTTAAATCTTTTAATGGGTTCTTATGAAATCTTAAGATTACAACTGTTAGATTAATAACAGGTGAGCGATGCAGGCCCATTGGGCCTCTTGTTTATAGCATGTCAGCTAAATATAACCACTCTTATAATGATGCAGATCTTGTTTCAATGTAAGAAAGTATATAACACTATATATAACACTATATGGCATTGACACTACTTGTTATGAACCACTGAGCAGATTTCAACAAAGTTTGGTGTTGAGCATTCTTGGGTGAAGATCGAGGAACCAATTTTGTATAAACAGTGAGTCTGGCCCCCCAGGGACCTGAGGGGTGGGCCAAATAGGGGGAATATAGGAAATTCCTCTTTAAAATTCTTCTTCTTTTGTAGGAATGATAGAGTTTAAATGTCCTTATTTGGTCTGAAGCATCCTTGGGTGAAGGCGACTTAATTTTGTGTAAACGGTTGGTCCGATTCCCTTTGGGACAGAGGGGCAGTTCCCAATTGGTGTAACAGCAATTCTTTCAAAATCCTTCTTCTTCTGTAGAAATGACTGAATTGTGTCCAAATTTGGTATGAAGCACCCTTGGGTTAAAGGGAACCGATTCTGTATAAACAATGGGTCTGACCCCTCTGGTTGCAGAGAGGCAGGACCCAATAGGGATATAGAGGAATATCTTTAATATCCTTCTTCTTTCATTGGAATGAATGGTTTTTGACCAAATTTACACAGTAAGCATCCTATGGGGAAGGGAAATTCATGTTGTATAAATAGTTGGTCTGACCCCCCTGGGGGCAGAGGGGCGGGACCCAATAAGGGAAACATAGCAAATTCTTCAAAATCCTTCTTCTCCTGTAGGAATGACAGGATTTTGTCCAATTGCATATAAATATAGCCTCGGACTAACCATGTGATACATGTTCACTACCAGCAACATCTAGCTATTTCAACTTCAATTTTTTCTAACATTTGCAGGTGAGCAATACAGGCCCTCTTGTTTATTAGGGATTTCCATTTCGGATGGAAATACCTATTGTTATTGTTATGTTTTTAGGTCACCTGAGCTTTAGCTCAAGTGACCTATTGCTATCCGTTTTCGTCCGTCGTCGTCCGTCGTCCGTCGTCCGTTAACATTTTACATTTCAAACTTAAAGTCAAGTTCTGCTGGGCCGATTGAACTGAAAGTTGGTAGGAATGATCGCCTCATGGTCCTGACAAAGTGTTGTTATTTTTCGGGTCGATCAGAAATCCAATATGGCCGCCACGGCCGCCATTTTGAAAACCTATTTCAAACTTAAAGTCAAGTTCTGCTGGACCGATTGAACTGAAAGTTGGTAGGAATGATCGCCTCATGGTCCTGACAAAGTNTTTTTAGAACGACCATAACTTCCTAAGCGTTCGTTGTGCATCATGAACGTTATGTGGATCTTGTAGATCTTGGTCGGGGCTAACTTTTCCCCATGACATGTTTTCAGAGAATATGTCAAGTTAAAAGCCTCGCTATGGGGTCAAATATAGGTCAAAAATAAAAATCACAAAATGAGTTATATTTTTATTTCATCTTAAAGGGCATGTTATAATAGAGGAATACGTAAAAAATTCCAAAGTCATAGCTTCAAAAATGACGAAGATATGCCACTTTGAAAAATTCGTTTTCCCGCCAAAATTCAAAATTTCCAGCATTTTCCTCAAAACGCTTCTTCTCCTTCATTAAGACACAAACATAGTTGATATTTGGTACATCCATAGTATGTAGCCTTGCCTACAAAAATAACACATATCATTGACCTTGACCTACATTCAAGGCCACAGGGGTCAAATGATCTTGTGGACACTTATCTCAAGTACGAATAAAGATACAACGTTCATATTTCAGTACATATAAGAGGACAAGCAACACATGGTATGCGAACAAATTCATGATCGTTATATCAAAGGTCAAGGACACAGATCTAAAAATCGTTTTTTTAAAAACAGTTTTAGAACGAACACAACTTCGAAAGCTTTCGTTGTACTGCATGAACGCTTCACACCTCTTGTAGAGCTTAGTCGGGGCTAACTTTTTTCCATGACATGTTATCAGAGAATTTCATGTTCAAAGCCTCGTTATGGGGTCAAATATAGGTCAAAAATAAAAATCATAAAATCAGTTCATTTTGTTTTCAAATATTAAAGAGCAAGCTCTATTCAAGGTATTCCCAAAGTTTCAAGGTCATCGCATCAAAAATGTCGAAGATATACCACTTTGTTATTAGGGATTTCCATTTGTCATT